CGTCAAATATCCTCACTGCTTCTTTCCACTTTCCAGCGCCTGCAAATCTTCTCATGACTTTTGCTATGGTGCTCAGAGTAACTGTCTGCTGGTTATGACACATTTCGTCTAAAAATGTACACATCCTATCCATCTTCTTCATTTTCCCAAGTATGTCCACCACTTCATCGTAGAATTCTGGCAAGGGTGTGTACCCAGGGTGTGAATCTGCCCATCTGAAAGCACCCAATGCCGATTTCCAGTCATCTTTGAAACAGTGAAGCAAATTCCCTACTAGTTTGTGAGTAAGCCGGATGGTCTCACAAGCTGGATTGGATTGAAGAGAGAGGAAAACCTCATCCTCACTGCTCCCAGGAGATATTTTAGCAACTAAGAATGCAAGATCAGAATCTGCTTCCAGCCCAGCGTGCGAAGTGGAAAAAGGCTTAAAATAGTTTGAAACGGCAATTTGATGAAAAGCAGGAAGAACAGATGGGACAAGATGATAAAAGCTTCTTTTTGTGAGGGTTTGGCCGTTGAAGATCATGAAGACAGTAACAAGAAGAACAACAAACCCAATAGAATTCGACAAATGTAGGGTGTGAGGAGGATGTGTGTATGCAGATCTTAGCCCTGGGCCCTATTATGAAGCAGAGAGATTGTTTCCAAGAAACCTCCGGCTTCGATAGTGGTAGATAGTAAGGGTGTTGTGACAAATGCAAGATAGTTATCAGAAAACTGTGAAACAATAATGGTAGAGAACAAACTTTACTGAGGACTTCAGAACGAATACAGAGGTTGCTGTGAAGAACATATAGGACAATGTTACATAGTAGAAAAAAAGTATAAGTGTTTTGAAGTTTAGCAAGACCCCATACTAATCAACAAAGTGGCATATTCAGTGTGTTCCAACAAAGAGTACATTCTAAATCCTGCAAAAGCGTGTGAAGAACTATAAGGCCTTCTGAAAATGCAGTTTTAGCAACGCCGGACACGAATGATAATAATACAATTAATAAACAAAAGTGGCATCTGAATAAACAAGTATCTTCAGAAGAAATACTCTGAAACAAGTTTACTCTTGCAGCTTTCACAAATTCATTTCTAAGAAGATCACGTTAACAGATTTACAAGGAGTTGTTTACAAAGCTATTCAATGTGGAAAGTGAATAGCACAACCGCATTTCAAAAGCATGCCCCACTTGAATGCAAAAATAATAATAAAAAGACAACTACCAATTGATGGAGTGTAATCCACTGGACTATATGAGAATTAAAACGGAGATAGATGAAAGTATATGAAACCCTTACTACATTCAGCTTTGAATCCTTTCTCCATGAATGTAGAATGAGTATTTATAGGGCCAAAGAGTCGCAAGACAATCACAACTCACCTTCCTAAAGTGTAAGTCAACACTAATTTGAGAAGTGCCTCTCCCTCCCCTTTGAACCTCATTTCCGGGTCTCTCGTGAACTAATTTAAATAGTTTTGTCCCTTTTACGTTTTTTGTCCGTCCCACTATCTTTGAATCATATACCATATTTGATCAAACGTGAGTGGGGATTAATATCAACTACACAATTTCAATTTCACTCTCCCATGTCCCAAAAGTAGTGGGATGGAGGGAGTAATAACGAAAGTTATGGAACAAACTGAGCATATTGGTTCTAACCCTAGTTTAAACATGTAAAAGGTCCCAATCACTAATGTAGAAACATGGAACTTGAAGGAATTACATTCAGAGACTAAACAAAATTATTGTACTTCTCCCACTGCATAACCAGAGACTCGATAGATTAAGGCTGCAACTTAAATTGACAAGCAAAACAAATCATATTTACAGATCCTACAGAATATGAACTGCAATCAATTAGATTTGAAAATGGAATTTAAAACATTAAAAAAAAGGTCAAGCCTGTGTAAATAAATAAACCTGTTAAACATTTGGGAGAATTGAAATTTGGACCCCGAATCAACGAGAAAGCCGCCATGGTTGCGATGCGGGGTGTGAAACGTTTACGACTAGAGAGATGGACATGGAAAGCGATTTGCATTCCCTTCTTCAGCGATTTGCAGAGATTTTCAGGCCGGCTCTTAATTTGGAGCCAGGGATAATTGAAATGTGGTGTTCGGTAAAATTAGATTTTTAACATTATTACTCATTCTTATTAAAACTAATGCTTCACCTGTGCCCGGGAATATATTATTTTAAATAGTTAATATGACAATAAAGTTAAGTCATTTTTTTAATTTTAAATTGAATGAAACTAAAAATATAAAAATCATAGTATAACCAAGATATGATAAATATGTGTTTGTCTAAGGTTAATTTTAGTTTCAAGCAATATTATTAATGAGTGACATGTTTCTAACTAAGTTTAAATTGAGACAAGTCTTGACTTCTACGAACCGGATTTTTTCTTTATGTATAGGTTCTTTTAAGTATTAGCTACTGCAACCTCCAAGTGATAGGGAATGACAATTCTGGAGCAAATTGTATGAATTATTGGCTGTTTTCATGAGGTAAAATCTTTTGTTTGGCTAAGGTTAACTTTAGTTTCAAGCAATACTATTATCCAAAGTGAGATGTTTTACCTTTTTTTTGTGCAGTTAAGTCTGGCATAAAAACATCAAATTATATTATCACCCCCCTACATGAACAACCTATAAGGGTTTTAAAATGAGATAAAAGGATCTACATTAATTCATATTTAGTTAGGTACTAAGATGTTAGAAAAGTGATTACTGGAGTTTGCAGGATAAAAATGGGATCACTGATGATCTGCAAAACCAACACCAGAGCCATACCAGTTTTGCTTTCCTTGTAAACTTGTTGCACTCACAAATAAAAACCAACACAATTTACAAGAGTGATTTAGAAGGAGAAAAAGAAACATAAAAAAAAACAGAGAACAAAAACTTAAACCTAATTAAAGAAGCGTACCAAGTGTGTTAGCGGGAAACTCTATATATACAGTGGATTATTCTACCCACATGGGAAAAAATGAGCAGAATAAATTGAAAAACAAAGTCAATTCCTAAAGACAAAATCAGAGGAGAGAAATTCCACCGAATGGGAATGACTTGAAAGAAATGTTTCTCAAAAAAAAATGACTTTGATGGACCATCATTTTATGCTGCTGATAAGTGAATTGATCTTAAGTGTCTTACAATCTCATAGAAAGAGTCACAAACAAATGAACCAAATACTCCAGAGTATAATCTGCATTTGGGTCAATACGACCTTATAATACAGAGTATTTGGCATCTTGATTTGAATTGGGCAGTCATCAGGCCCTCCCCCATCCCCATCATTGCACAAAAGACCGGAACAAAAAATGTACACACTTTGTCTCCAAAATAGCATCTCTTCAAACAAACTTCGAACACATCTTTTATTTTTCAATTTCTTTTCATGAACTTCGTGAAATCAAACAATTATTGGATGAAATTAATTTGGAAGAAATGAATAACAAGATGTGAGTAAGTGATATCAAACAAGCAGTAAATTAAGGAGTAGTAGTGAACACAAGAATGAGTAGAAGAAGAGCATATGGAAGTCGTACATACAGATATGGATATTTGAGTGGATGAACTCAGTCCACTCATCTGCGTTGGCTTCTCTCCTCCTCCGACGATCTACCAGTTGCCGGTCCCTGTCATCTCCAGATTTGTCGCCGTAGGCGGTTGAGTCAGCGGCGTATCCTCCTCAAAAGATTTTCATCGGATTTACCATCTCGCGAAGCCGAAATTCGTTAATGGAGATAGAGACGATGCAAAAATCAATTGAATAAAAAGATTTTCATCAATTGTTGCGAGGGGAGAGAGCGACAACCGTTAAATCTCATAGCTCCTCTCATAATTTTTCTCTTTTTTCTAGCGAAAAGGGGGCAATAGTATTTAATTTCTCAAACACTCGTGCACACTTCTTGTTTTTCGTGTATTTTTTTTGTTTTCCCCTTTTTTCCTTTATTATTTCTTTTATTAATCAAGATTTTCTAATTTTTAAAATCGTTTTTTATAAAGTTCTTAAAATATAAAATTATTTTTGTTTGAGAATAATAATTCTTTAACAATGGGTAAGAGCTCTCCCTCAAGCAAAACCAACAAAAAGAATTTTTTCCGAGTAAGAACATGGGTAATATAGATAAGTGAGGGAGTCATGAGGGAAATGACGAGAAACGGGGCTGGAGTCGTGCCTCAATCACTTAGTGCCTCAAGGTGTGTGTGTGCACAATGTAGCTCTAACACTCATGGGTCAAAAATGATGATTCTCAAGAGATTTTATTCACACAAAGAAGCATTTAAGAAGCACTCTTAAACGTGTCTAAGTCAATATTCACAAGCATATACAAGATTCACCACATAACATAAACTAAACATAAGCTAGCACACAAACCCAATGACAAAAGTCTTGACTACTCCCCCCACACTTAAATCAAGAGACCGTCCTTGATGTCAAGAGACATGAAAAAACAAGGGGGCAAAAAGGGGATAAAGCACAAATAAACAATTAAGAACAAGGGTGGGTGGGAGGGAATCAATGCAACTCAACTTAAACCATAACATGACAACAACTAGACATGAAGCACATCCCAACTCAAAACTCACAAGTCATGATATTCTCAATCACACACATGCTCAGAAAACGTCACGGCGTCCCCAAACACTACTAAGCATTGAGTAAAAGAGAGAAAATGCAAACTCCGTAAGTAAGTGAGAACGAGTGGAAGAGTGTGTGTTGCCATGATCCATGAAATCCAATAGTGTATAATCCATCAATCCCTTAGGCCTCATTAGCCAAATATGATCTTCCAAAAATTACCCTCATGGTCAAAATCTTTCAACTTTTCTTTATTTAGCATCTCACCTAGATCCAACAAGAAAATCCACCAAGAGAAACTCAAAGTGGAAGGTTAAGAAGCTCACTTATTTAAAACAAATAAAATAAAAGCAATTAAATAAAGCTTGGGTTGCCTCCCAAGAAGCGCTTCTTTAACGTCATTAGCTTGACGATTTTATTTTGAAAAGAAATTTCTTTAGGTGCTTCCCTAGGAAAACACCCTTGGAGCGTTTGAAGTTGGGAAGTCAAAATAACTTCAAATGCTTCCCAAGAAACACCCCCTTCGGTTTTGAAAAAGTAGTACGTAAGGGGGTGGTGTTCGGGAGAGTAAAAGATTGATCAAAAGTTAAAGTATGAACCCTCTCCCGAACCCTTGAGCAATGCAGGAGAAAGTGTTCTCCCGGCTCAAATGGAAAGCCTAGCCAATGAGGATGCATATCAATGTAGGTGTTGCTAGGCTTGTGCAAAAGTAAAAGAGTAGGAAAGTGCAAACCATGTGTTGGAGCATTAGAAAGCACCGGCCTCTCCAAGGCTAATGATGAACCAGCTGGATCCATGTGCCACTATATAATCGGCTGGATAAGAGATCCTCAAGTAACAAACAGCAACCTACAAAAAAATAGTTAACTAATGTCGGAAACAAGTAAACGTAAATTGAACTTGAAACCTAAATTAAAAAATATATGTACATCAGTGAGATCGGCGAAGTCAACGAAATCTGTAGACGCCTTGCTACTACGCTGCCCATAATGAGGTGCTACAGCAGGTGTGTGCTGCGACATGGATGCAAAGTCTAGAGCACCCCCGGACACAAATACTCCATACTGCTGCAAAAGGGAAGGAAGACGCTGTAAAAGATCCTCCTCAGTCATATAGTTACCTCCGGGCTTACGAGGCTTCATGTTGCCTTTGAAAACTTTACGTAAGCCTGAATATGAGCCAACACCCCTCGTCCGCCCCGAGTGCTCAGCAGACCCTAAAGCTCTAGTCAGAACATCATTGTGCCCATCTGGCACAAAGGTACCGGCTGCGACCTCTTTCTTCAGCTGGTCCTACAGTTAAGAAAGAAAAGAAGTAAAGAAATTGTAAGCAAATAATAAACAAGTAATAAACAAATATATTGACGTAATTGTAGATTATATGCTTACTATCCTATCAGCAGAGCTGAGAACCTGTCTCAGTAGACGAACCAGCGATATCGGCAGAAGTGGTGGCCTGAGAAGCAGCCAACTCACGCTGAAGCATGGCATATCCACCTCGGTCCATATAGTGCGGATAAGGATTCTTCTTCTGTAGGTCCCTGTTGTTCTTGCTCAAAGCCTAAAAAAATTGTTTAAAATAAATTAATATGTCAGTTAATTTCATTCGAAAAAGGTAATTATGGTTTACCTTAGCTTCCGAAGTCCCGTTCTGGATCTGAAACTCCTCTCAATGCTCTGACTCTAAGAAGCTGTAAAGACGAAAGGGAGTCTCACCGTAATGATCCCCACCTCCCGTCAAATAGGATCCTTGTAAATATGTCCTGAAAGCGCAAAATCTCGACCCGGCAACCGTCATGACATGCCGGACCCCACCGGGAGGTATCACATATATATATCCTACAAGAAAATGAAGCAACAACTTATTATATATAGAACCATGTAACCATTAAAGGTAGCATATTTGGATAAATAAAGTGGTACCTACCTGAACCCCATCTAGTATTGTGGCCTTCAGGTCTTTCGGGACAGCATGCCAATTATTATAAGTAATCGGCACTCTTGATCGGGCCTCAAACCCTACAAGCCAAGTAAACTCTGAAACATACGGTCCACGTTCAGGCTCCCCACGCTGCCACTCAAGTTCTATAGGCGGGTGACCCTCCCTCATCCTCTTATACAGCTTCTCGTATTTCCCAGCACCTCTAACCTTTTTCTTCTTCTGTTTGTCTGCCATACCTGCACAAATTCAAAATAATCTAGATAACATAAGTATAATAAAAGTGAAAGAACAATGAATTAAATGAAAATGATCAATATAAACAGAAAAAATACCTAAAGCATTATTTTAACTTTTTCTTTCCCCCATCTATCCATAATCCTTCTTCGTGATCTTCGCAAATGTATTTTGCTCCTATATCATCTACCTGTGAGTTTGGCGAAATCATTGAAATATGAGTTGCTTCATCGTATAAACCATCGTCCAACTCAACTGATGCCCTTTTCCCTTGTCGAACAACAGACCAATTTTTATCTTTAGGATCAACAATGTAATAGATTTGCGTCGCTTGAGAGGCCATTATAATCGGATCCTCATGATGACCAAACTTCTGAAAATTCACTAATTTAAACATCATGTCATCTGATTTAATGTAACGCCCCGAAATCAGGCCCAAAAGAATTAATTAAATTGTTAGGGCAATTAATTACGAATTGGGCCCAATAAGGGGTTAAAATTATAATTTGGATTTTAAGCCCAACTTTTATGTCATCTCGTAGGAAATATTTTTTTGATCGCGTCGGTTCAGACGGTTCGCGAATCGGAGTTACAGAGCTCAAGTTATGACAATTTAATCAGGTATTTTGGGTCCGAAGCCCAATCCTTTTTGGAATGGGACCATTAAATAAACCTAACCACATATATCTTATCTTTTCGTCCGTCCTTTCTTCTTCTTTCTTTCTTTTTCTTTCTTTCTTTCTTCTTCTTCTTCCTTCTCCTTCCTTCTTCTTCTCTCTTCTCCGCCCAGCCAACCTCGCCGCCGGAAGTCGCCGCCA